ACCCTATGGGACGGAGGAGAACCGTCCCATAAGGTTTCCTAGACTGTAATCTTTGTGGAAGCCGACTCCCCATCTTTGTCTTGGGGAGTAACTGGTGGGTTCAAATGGCCAATCTTTTGGTTAGCTGTCGAATTCATTAACCAGTAGGCCAGCAGAGCTCCTGGGACACAGCAAATGCTTGATGAACAGGCGGCTTATAATTTTCACAGTGGCTATCACTATTATGCTGGTGGTTCAAATCCACCAGCCACTCGTTGGAAGGAAGGTTGGGCAATCTACTTCTGTAGCAATACCCCCTTGGAAACCCAAGGACGGGTCGCTATGAGTTGGGTCAGACACCATGGCACATAACAACAACAACAACAACAACTTATTATGATGGCCTAACTTGTGACTGACACCACCAGGGGGAATTGGGGAAGTCTTCAGGAAGGAGGTGACTGGAAGCAGGGTCTTCTTGAAGGTTCCCTAAGCATGGAAGAAGCATGAAATGGGCATCAGCAAGGAAGGGGCAAAACTTCACCATAAATCCTGCTGAGGTGTCAGGAACATCCTGACATGCATGCTGGGACTTGGGTATTTTAAAGAAGACGAAGCTTGCAGGCAATGCTTAGCACAGAAGAAGGTGATAGTTTAGACAAGGGAGACCTTGTGGGTAAAAGGAGCCAGTAGTCAAAAGCGTGGCTGCCAAATGAAAAAACTGTTCCAAACCACCAGAAGCATGGGAGGAAAGACGTGGCCATATGCTCCTGTAAAGATTAAACAAAAAGATCAAACTCACTGATGAAACAGACATGCAGACATTTCGATTCTTAGAGACCCTCAGTGGGTTTTCAAGGGGGTAAATCTTTACAGAAGTGGATTGCCACATCTTCTTTCCTCGGAACTGCTGGTGGGGTTAAACCGTCAGCTTTCTGGTTAGCAATCAAATGCTGCACGCTCTGAGCCCCCACAGCTCCTTCCCATAAAGATTGTTGTTGTTGTTGTTGTTATGTGCCATCGAGTCAGCCCCGACTCATAGCGACCCCTCCTTGGGTTTCCGAGGCAGTATCACTACAGAAGTAGGATTGCCCAACCTTCCTTCCGAGTAGTGGCTGGTGGGTTTGAACCGCCAGCTGTCTGGTTAGCAGGCAAGTGTCTTAGCCACTATGCTACCAGAGCTCCCATAAAGATTAGAGCCTAGGAACCCCTATGGGACAGTGCTTCTTTGTCCTACAGTGTCCTAAGAGTCCCAGTCCTAAGAGTTCCGCAGTATCACTACGGAAGTAGGATTGCCCAACCTTCCTTCCGAGGAGTGGCTGGTGGGTTTGAACCGCCAGCTGTCTGGTTAGCAGGCAAGTGTCTTAGCCACTATGCTACCAGAGCTCCCATAAAAATTAGAGCCTAGGAACCCCTATGGGACAGTGCTTCTTTGTCCTACAGTGTCCTAAGAGTCGGAATCAGACAACAGGTTTGGTTTAATTTAGTTTAGATAACATCAAGGGAGTTGGGGTTTTTTTGGGGGAGGGGTCGGCTAGAGACTAAGTCTCAAAGAACACGCAGCGCGGGAAGTGTCTCGGGGTGGCCAGTGGCCCAGCTGCCCTCACTCTGAGGCTGGACTCTCCTGTTCCCAGAAAGCTGCTCGGATTGTCACAGCAACGCCACCTGCGTGGAGGACGGAGTGGCCACGACGTGCTCCTGCCAGGAGGGCTTCACAGGCGACGGCTTCCAGTGCCTGGACCTGGACGAGTGCGCCACCCCTGAGACCCACAACTGCTCAGCCGGCAGCAGCTGCGTGAACACGCCTGGCTCCTACGCCTGCCTGTGCCTCCCGGGCTTCCGCATGACGCCCGAGGGCGGCTGCACGGACGTGGATGAGTGTGCGGAGCCCGGGCTCAGCCGCTGCCACGCCTTGGCCGCCTGTGTCAACCTTGAGGGCAGCTACTCGTGTGTGTGCCCTTCGGGCTACAGCGGGGATGGGTGGTACTGTGAGTGCGGGCCGGGCGCCTGCGGGCCGGGGCTGGACTGCTTGCCCGCGGAGGGCGGCGCGCGCGTGTGCCTTGATCCGTGCCAGGAGCACAGCGTCCTGGACGAGTATTGGCGCAGCACGGCCTACCGTGCCGGCTACACCTGCGACTCGGGCCTGGACGGCTGGTACCGCTTCGTGGGCCAGGGCGGCGTGCGCCTGCCGGAGACCTGCGTGCCGGTGCTGCGCTGCAACACGGCCGCGCCCATGTGGCTCAACGGCACGCACCCGTCCACCGAAGATGGCATAGCGAACCTCACGGCCTGCGCGCACTGGAGCGGCAGCTGCTGTCAGTGGGACGCACCCGTCCAGGTGAAGGCCTGCCATGGCGGCTACTACGTCTACCACCTAATGGCGCCCCCAGAGTGTCATCTGGCCTACTGCACAGGTGTGCTGGCGCGTCCCCTAGCCACACCCAGGGGACGGGGGTGCGTGCTAGCACACTGTCTGTCTGCCCTGTGTCCCTGCAGATCCTAGCTCGGTGGAGGGGAGGTGTGAGGAATGCAGCGTAGAGGAGGACTGCAAATCGGATAACGGCAGATGGACCTGCCAGTGTAAACCGGACTTCAACATCTCAGGTGAGGCCGCCTCGGAGGGCGCAGGGGCTTAGAAAAGGGTCAGGGACGGAGGGCGAGGCTTATTCCTGGGTGGGAAGTGTGTGTGACCAGGTGATGAAGATTATCCGATCTGAATGAAAAAGTAAGATCCAGTTATGCCCATTGCAACCAGCAAGAAACGCCTTAAGACTCCAGAGCTTGCGGGACCCCCTTACTTCCAGACTTCTTTTTGCGCCTCCCACAACACAGGGGTGCACAGGTCATCTGGTAACCAAAGGCTACCTAAGCCATATTCCCATGGCACCAGAACACAGGACCGCTGTTAGTCTGCCCACTGACTTTCTGAGTGACCCTGGGCAGGGCCCTGGCCTCTCTGAGCCTCAGTTACTCCATCTTCACAGTGAATAAATCAGGCTAGAATTTTCCAAACACTAGTCATGATTTTACTCATTTCCAAGTGCCCATTATACATTTTTTTCTGTGTCCAAGTACTGCTTATACTGTGTTTTTCAAATTTTTCACTTGTTTTTCCTCAAATTGATTGGATCCTTCTTTCTTTAAGTAAATTTGGGAAATCTATGGTCACCACTCCACCTATCTATGGCAAGTAACACCTCAGATGGAAGGTAACTGTTGTCACCTTTCTTGTATTTTCATAATAAAAAATTAAAAATTAATTACAAATGAATCAATGAAAAGAAAATGTTACTAAATTCCAGCAGCTTCAATAAGAGGTTTTTTTTTTTTTTTTTAATATTCTCTCTGGATGTTGTTCCCCGCCCCAAACTCTGATCTGAGGCCTGGTCTCTGTTTGTTAAAAAGGAAGTTAGCAAGAGTACCACGATAAAGGCATTAGAAGCAATTGGAGACTCTTCCTGATGTAGAAAGACTGGAAAAAAAGTGCAGTTAACAATTTGTCTGTTTGTTTTTAATTGTCATTGGGTGTTACTTAATGATGGGAATGTGAACAGCTCAGAGCTGTCCTGCATTATGCGTCCAGCCATATGGCAGATGGCTGGCCACAGAGTACACCTAGTGATGCTCTGAAGCCAATCTCCTTTGTTCTTGTCATTGTTGAGAATATACACAGCAAACATACACCAATTCGACAGTTTTTACATGTGTAATTCAGTGACCCTGATGACCTTCTTTGAGTTGTGCAGTCATTCTCACCCTCCTTCTCTGAGTTCTTTCTCCTTATTAACATAAACTCACTGCCCCTCAAGCCTCGTATCTAATCTTTCAGGTTGCTGTTGACAATTTGATCCCATACAGACAATACTTAAAAAAGCATAATGCTCAAGGCAGAATTTCTTTACTAGTTAAGCTAAACTATTTTGGTTGGTTTAGGGCATAGTTTTGGTTTAAAGACAATCGTGTGTCTCCATCATGGTGGGAAGAGAGCCCACAGCATCTGAGTACCCCCAGCCAGTAACCAGTCTGGCCACTTGGCCTGGCCCCTGGTGATGTGCAGGGACCCTGAGCCATAGACACAGGCCTCCCAATCCTGTCCTCCCTATTTCAGATGTCTCCCACCTGGACCCCAAGCTGGAGTGTGGGGCCAATGACATCAAGGTATCCCTGGGCAAGTGCCAGCTGAAGAGTCTGGGTTTTGAGAAGATCTTCATGTACCTACAGGACAGCCGGTGCTTCGGTTTCAATGAGAGGAGTGACAGGGACTGGGTGTCTGTGGTGACCCCAGTGCAGGATGGTCCTTGTGGGACTGTGATGACGGTATGTCCTGGCTGCGTGTGACAGTGGGACAGGCAAGCTCAGAGCACTGCCTGGTTTAGGTGCCAGATCCACCACTTACTAGCTGTATAACCTTTGCCATGTTGTTTAGCCTGGATGTGCCTTAGTTTCCTCAACTGTAAAATGAATTAATAATAGTATTCCTTCATACAGTTGTAAGGATTGAATGTATGTATAGTGACTAGGTCACCAACAGGCACATAGTAAGTGCTCAATGAATGTAGCTTGAACTAGAGAAGGCAATCCATGGATGATAGCTCCCCACTTTATAAATGGGAAAAGTAGGCTCAGAGAAGGCAGTGATTTTTCCATGCCCGTGGGTATCAGAGTTAGGTCCAGAATCAGATATGTTTGGCTTCAGTGGTCTTGGGAGGCAGGATCTACTTATCTGGGGTGTGGAGAACCAGGACCTCACCTACAAAAAACCAGAATCCAAACATGTTACCATTGAGTTTATTCCAACTCATGGTGATCTCATGTGTTACAGAGTGGAACTGCTCCATAGGGTCTTCTTGGCCGCAATCTTTACAGAAGCAGGTCACCAGGCCTTTCTTGTGTGGCACTACTGGGTGGGTTTTAATAGGTGACTTTAGGTGAGTAGTTGAGTGAAAAACTGCTTGTGCCACTGAACCAAGACCAAACCATACCCACTGCCATTGAGTCACTTCTGACTCATAGAGACCCCCACTGGGTTTCCAATGCTGTAAATCTTTATAGAAGTATATTGCCTCATCTTCCTCCCACAGAGCAGCTGGTAGGTTTGAACCACTGACCTTCTGGTTAGCATCTAAATACTTTATCCACTACACCACCACAGCTAGAGGTAAATGTTTGTATGAACAGAGCATTGCTTCCTCGCACCTCCCTTACTCTCCAAAGAGGAGAGAACAAGAAAGAAAGAAATTCATTTTCATTTGCCAAGCCTTGTGCACCATTAATACATGACATGGTACATGATTTTTAGTCTTCCGGAGAAGAAACATGGGGTAATAGAAGGAACATTTCACTCAGGGCCCAGCACAGGACACATGCTAGCTAATAAAGTAGTTGCTACTGTTGTAACTTTTGTCATGGAAACTGGGAGTGGAGGTCATAGAGGACCAGAGACAAGCCCCCTTAGGCTCTGCTGTCCTGCTCAGCTTCTCATGCCCCTTTCTTCCACCCCCATCGCAGAAGAATGAAACCCACGCCACATACAGCAACACCCTCTACCTGGCTGATGAGATCATCATCCGTGACCTCAACATCAAGATCAACTTTGCATGCTCCTACCCCCTGGACATGAAAGTCAGCCTGAAGACCTCCCTGCATCCAATGGTCAGGTGCGGCCAGAGGGGTTCTCCAGCATCCCTGGATGACTCTACCCACAGCTCCTCACCCACAAGACCCTAAGCTTCCCTGTTGATTGCCACCCATAGAGAGCAGGGTTCAGGGGCTAGGAGGAGCCCCAGGTAGCAAGCCTGAAGACAAGACTCAAATCCAGGCTCTGTTATGTGCTAATCAGATGGCTTTGAGAAGCTGATAGCCCCTCTTAGGATGTCAGCATTCTTACCTATGAAAGAGGTTTAGTGGTAGTTGTACTACTTTTCTTGGAAACACAATAGTCCTCTTCAGATGTGAATCAAATATTAGGGTCTCAGCTTATCAGAACAGCAGGATGGCTGGACCAGAGGGAGGGAGGGGGTCTCAGTCCAGTTCTGCTATGGGACTTTGGACAAATTGTGCCCGTATTTGGACCTCATTTTCCTTCTTTGTAACTTGAAGGAATTAGATTAGAAGAAGTCTTTATAATTTATGCTCCTAGTGTCTGAGGTCTTTAATGAGGTGCTTTGAAGAAGTCCCTTCATGGGTGAATAGAGCATTTGTACACCACCACATATTGGATGCTACATAGGATATATTGTAAAAAAAAAAAAAAAAAAGATTCTGTTGCTAAATAGAATTGAAAATCTTTGAACAGGATGACTCACAGGCCTGTGATGTTGATGCTGGAAAAAAAATAGTCATAATAATAACTAGTGTTCATTGAGAGCTTACTGCATGCCAGGTACTGTGCCAAATACTTTACATGAAATATCTCACTCAAATCTCACAGAAACTCTAGGAAGTACAGATATCATTATTATTCCAATTACATAGATGTGGAAATCAAGCTCAGAGAAGGTTGAGTAACTTGTCCAATGTTACAGAGTCTAGTAACTAGAATTGGAGTAAAAACCCATGTTGTCATGCCTAAAGCCATTACTCTTCCATGACCTTCAGATTGAAGCTTGTCTATAGTTACGTGTTCTCTGGGCCAACTAGGCCTGGGGAAGACATTGGATACTTGAAAGCATTGGCTGACTGGGGGAAGAAGTCTGCTCATTGGCTGTGCTTATCTGGACCATCACCAAGCTAAATCACACCCTAGTCCAAAGTCGCATGTCTACACCTGGGATCCAGGGGACACACATTTGTATGCAGATCTCTCCCTGGTTTGGGCTGTAAATGTCAAACAGGCCAAACCTTAGTCCACAGCCCATTTCTCACCCAAGAAATGAATTTCTGCTTTACTAACTACTTCTCATGTACCTTATTTCCTGGGGCATCAGTTTTACAATTTCTTTTGTGTGATTGTCCAGTGAAGTCTACATCAGGGAGCTGTTTTCAATAATAATAATAATAATAACCCACTCAAAATATTCCCATCTTCTGATACAGATGCTAGTACCTTATAGAGAAGCTGGGACTCAGACTTCAGTCTATGGGTTTACCAGCCCATGACTTTTAATCTGTTTCAGGCTGAGACTAAAGTTGGGAGTTTGATACCAGTCCACGACTTTTAATCTGCTGTAGGCTGAGACTAGGAGCTCTGGTGGCATAGTGACTAAATCACTCAGTTGCTAACCAAAAGCTCCACAGTTCAAACTCACCAGCTGCTCAGCAGGAGAGCGATGTGGCAGTCTCCTTCTGTAAAGATTTACTGCCTTGGAAACACTACTCCTCTGTCCTCAAGGCTTCCTATGAGTCAAAATCAACTCCATAGATGTGGTTTTTTGTTTAGCCTGAGTCTAAATTTGAGAGTTTAATTCCCTCAAGAATTGATTTGCCCCACATCTTGTAATCTAAATGGTAGCAATGGCCACCAAGTTAGGGCCTGGCCGTGGTTTAGATACTTATTACTCAAAGTGTGGTATATGCATCAGCATGACCTGGGAGCTTATTAGAAACCTGTGACTCTTGGCCTCCACCCCAGGCCCACTGAATCAGAGCCTGCACTTGAGCAAGCTCCCTACGTGCCTTTTGTATGCTCACTGCAGGTTTCTAAAGCAGTGGTTGGTACATTCCAGGCCTTCTGCTAGATTTTAAAATGCAAATAACTGCAAGGGACTTCCTGGGAATTCAGCGCTCAAAGGGGAGCCCATCTGTTGTGATCCTTAGCCCTGGTTCTCTCACCAGTCCCTCTCCCCCTACAGTTCCCTGAACATCAGCGTGGGTGGGACAGGCATGTTCACCGTGCGAATGGCCCTCTTCCAGAACCCTGCCTACACGCTGCCCTACCAAGGCTCCTCTGTGACACTGTCCACTGAGGCCTTTCTCTATGTGGGCACCATGCTGGATGGGGGTGATTTGTCCCGCTTTGCACTGCTGATGACAAACTGCTATGCCACGCCCACTGGCAATGCCACAGACACTGTGAAATACTTCATCATCCGGGACAGGTAAGGCACAAGTTCTCTCCTGGGGGGCCTGTGGATGGGATTCAGAGGGTCTTTGAACTTGGAGGAGTCCCTGAGTGGTACATAAAGTTAATGAACTTAACTGCTAACTGAAAAGTTGGTGGTTCAAGTTCAGCCAGCAATGCCTTGAAAGAAAGGCCTGGCAGTTTAGTTCTGAAAACATCTGGACAGATGTTTCCATTGGAAACCCTTTGGAGAACCGATCTATTCTGACACACATGGGGTTGCCATGAGTCGGCAATGACTCAATCATAACTGATTTTTGGACATAGATGGGGGAAAAGTACATCTTTATATTCATTAACCTCTAACTGAAATTTTGCATTCCCATCTATTATGAATGTAGGCAGCAAAACACAGGACATGGGATAGCAGGATACATGATAACATTTGTATCATCAGTACTTCCAAATTTCTATAGTTATTAGAATTTCCCCTAGACCTCATTATTTAATGGATTAATGTTGTT